TCTTGCGTCCGAGGGGCGACCCCAGTGGCAGAGGTGGCTGGGCTCCCGCGTGTGCAGGGGCAGGGCCTCTCCCAACCGAGCCTGCGGGGCGGGGCTGTGGGCGTCGTCTCCTGTCCTTCGAGCCGCCTCGTGGTGTCGGGATCCTCCCTGGCCACAGCCTTTGCTTTGATTCCCACTGAGTTAGTGGCGTGGGTCCCGGGGTGGCCCCTCCTGGGTAGGGGCGGGGGTCAGGTCACATGTGTGTCCCTCAAGAATTTGGTCCTCAGACCCTGGGTGTCTTTTAAAGCCTTTGCATTTTGGGGTTCTTGGAAATACTGGCTAGCGGCCCTGTCTCGGGGGCGGTGAGTAGTAACTCAGAGCTGGTGTTAGACTCGTGACACCCAGTCAGCCCTGTCCTCTCTTGCCGTGCAAAGTCCTATACTATTTTGAATCTCCAGACACGTCTGCATCTCAAGCTTCTGTTTTGAATTATCTGTTGTCGCCCACTGATGCGACCTCACAGTGTCATGGGGACGTCCCGGTGGCCGCTTCCCTCTGCAGGTGCCCTGGTCGGCTTCCCTGGGACGGGTCGGCCGCAGCAGCACAGCGGTGGCAGGATTCCAGCCCCCAGCGCCCAGCCCCTGAGCACAGCGCCTGGGCTACTGTGCGGCCGTTTGCACGTAGGGAGGGGCTTGCTCGCCCCCTGGGCATGTTAGGTGCGCAGGGAGCCGATGCTCAGGCTGGTTCCATCGGGGCATTAGTTCTCGTGCTGCTAGGCTCTGGGGTGGGGGTGGGGATCAGGGGCGAGCGTGACGGTGGCAGCCGTGTGGCAACAAAGGAGCCTCGGGCCTGGTCGTGCTCCCGGAGCGAGGGTGCCCCGTCACACCGGTCAGGACTCGGGGCTGCGCCGCCCGCAAGCACAGCGTCAGGGGCGGGGTCCCCTCCTTTCCTCGGGGTGCTGCCTGGCACTCCTCTCTGGGACGGCGGCTGGGGGCGGTTCCCACCCGCGAGCCCCTAGTTAAGTAACGCGGCCGGACTCCTCGGAGTCCCAGCTCGCTCTCCCAGCCGCGTGCTCTTCGGACTCTGCCCAGGGTACCTCCGCAGTCTGGGCATGGCTGCCGCCCCCGGCGGCTCTGCTCAGCAGCGTGGCCTGGACTTAGCGGGGCCGGGGCTTCCGAGGATCATCTGGTGATCAGTGAAGGCAGAATGGTATTGGGACGGAGTGTCGGAACGTGCGGTTCTGAAGGGCTGAGGTCTGGGCCCAGCCCCCTCCTCGCTGCGTCCTGCCCCAGCTGACAGAGGCTCCTCGGCAGGGCCGTCCTGCGCCTGCTGGGCTGACCATAAAGGCATGAACAGTGTCTGACCACCTGCCCTGCAGGTGTTTCTCAAACTGGCCAGAGAAGAATCTGCTGGGACCTGATCAAGGCCGATTCCCAGGCCCTGGCCTGTTCAGCCCGTCCGGGGCCCCTGGAATGTGTATTCTCCACTGGGGCTCGGGTGATGCGACGTGGCTGCCCCGGAGAAGCGTGCTCTCGGGAACGGGGACCAACCGTGTCCCAGGGAACTGCTCTCCTAAGTCGTCCCCCGCGGCTGTCCCCACACGGAGGCGCCGAGGCCGGGCTTGGCCGTGCAGTGGGGGGCCTGGGCTCTGCTGCTCAGAGCTGCTACCCGTGAGAAGCAGGCGAGGGCAGGTCTGCGAGCAAGGCTGGGCCGGAGCCTCAGAAGGGAGGTGGCCACGGCAGCCGTGTGCGCGCTCAGCGGTGGTGCTCCCAGCACCGGCTTGATCGATGTCCGGTCGCGCCCCCTCCCGGAGCCCACGTCCTCCTGTGAGGACGGTGATGGGGGAGGAGGGTAGAGGCTGTACCTCCAGGGCTGCTGCACGGGCAGCTGTATGACCCGCCTGATGCCTGCCGGGACTCTGCCTGGGCCCCCCGCCTTCTCCCGTGCGCCCCCGCACCCAGGGCCCTGCCCTCGGGGCTCCTCCCTTGCTCGCCGGTCATCTCTGTTGCACCTTCGGTGGAGACCACGTGGCTCCAGACTATACGGGTCCTCGGGCTGCACGCCGCCCTCCTCCACGTTCTCCTTTTGCGTCTGGGACCCGCCTCCGCCTCCCACCCTTTCTGGGTCCTCAGGAGACAGAGGGCGGGTGCCCTGGCCGGCCGAGAGGTCTTGGCACCTGGCCTGCCGGCCCATGTAAACGAGTCACTGCTGACCCCTGGTGGCAGGAACGTCTACCTGCAGTGATTCCTAGTGCCAGGGTTTCGCCAGGGGTGGACGGGCAGCACAGAGCGCAGGGTGCGCGGGGCTGCAGAGCCCTGGATGAGGTTTGCACACAGGACTCGGGGTGGGGGGGGGGCGACCCAATTAGGAGGAGTTGGGGTTGGACAGTGGCCTTGAATGTGGACCGAGTGCTGTGCATGCTGTGTGTACAGTGTCACCTGATAAGAGCTGGCTTGGGGAGGTGCAATTGGCACAGCGTTGGGGGGCGGCCGAAGGCAGGAGCCCAGCAGAGAATGGGATGGAGGAGGGAACCCAGGAGGTGGGCAGGCGGGGCTGGCTTTGCAGAGGGCTGTGACGACTGGGGCGTGGTGGGGGGCTGCAGTGACCACGTGCCCCTCCCCGGGCCGTGGGCCAGGTGCCCTGGAGGCAGTGGTCAAGGTCGGCGAGGCCCGTGGGGCAGGGAGAAGGGGGTAAGAAGAGTGACCACTATGATGGGGAAATGAGCAGGGTGTTAGGACGGAGGGTCAGGGAAGGTCTCTAAACAGCGTGAGAAGGGCAGCCCCTTGCAGGGAGCAGGCGGCGCCGAGACGCTGGAGCAGCATGAACAGGCCATGGGGCGACGACCAGGGCCTGGCGGCCACCTCTGTGCAGCAGGAGCCGCTGTGACCCCACCTGGTCTCCCAACCACCCGACCTGGCAGTGAAGAGTCGTGTTGGCGGGGGACAGTGCAGTCCATCGGGGGCGGCCATCCCCGGAGGCAGTGAGATGCGCTGAGGTTTGGAATCGGCCTGAGAGAGAAGTGAGGCGAACTTGTGGACCTGGGGGCCAGGATGGGCAGAGGCGGGTTTCGTGGTCACAGCTGCTGTGACACTGAGGGTTGATGGCCACGTCTGCGCAGGTGTGGGGAGAAGACGCAGCAGGGAGAGCTCAGCCTTGGACGTGTCAGGGCCCTTGAGGGACATGTAGTGGGTGCACTGGTCTGGGCGGGGGGCATGGCTGGGCTAGAGAGACATAGGGGCCCTGGTCTGGGCGGGGGGCATGGTTGGGCTAGAGAGACATAGGGGCCCGGGAACCCGTGTGCCTGCCCAGGACCGTAAGTGGAGTGAGCTTCGGGGATGGGGGCGGGGGGCTGGTCTGGGAGCATCAGGGCTCCCAGAGAGGTGGGAAGGAGGCCAAGCGCTGTCCCTGGGCTGCAGCTGGGACGGTGGTGGCAGGTTCTCGGGGAGAACATGGGGTGGCATGAGAGGAGGCAGTGTGTGGGAAATGGGAGTCTGAGGAGGGTGAAGGTGGGCTCCGGGCTGTGGGTGGAGAGCCTAGCACTGGGGACCTTGAGTGGGGCAAGGGCCGCAGGGTGCTGGCCATGCACCGGGGTTGGGGGGAGAGCAGGGGGCATGTGACCCAGGACCCAGCTGCAGGACCTCCCTGGCACAAAGCTTGGCCTGGCCAGCAGTTCAGGCCTGGGGTGGGGGTCGGGTGGGCGTGGACACCGAGGCCCTTTTCTGTGTGGCGCTGTCCTCCACTCACGTGGTGCAAGGGTGGGGGCGAGCACAGATGCTTCCCCTGCCTTCCCGTGTCTCCCCCATCCTTCCCCTTTGAGCATCTGTGCATATCAGCACACAGGGACGTTCCCCCTGCCTTAGGGTGAATGACATCTGCCGCACTTGGTGGTGGGACTCAAGAGGCGGAGCCTCAGACTCTCCGGGGTGCAACAGTGAGCAGAGTTGAGGGGTCTGGGAGCCTCCCTGCCCCAGTCCAGGAGAGCAGAGCCAGGAAGGTCTTCACAACGTGGGGCATTTACCAGGAAAGCAGCTTGGCTCCTGGGGCCCCCGACTGTCCAGCAGCCCTGGTCACACCCTGGTACTCAGGGCCAGCTGGGGGCAAGCGGGAGGGGGCCGTGTCCCATGTACCTGTGGGCGAGGTGTGGGGACTGTTCCTGTCCGAACACAAGCTCCTTAGCCTGTCACCCCTGAGGGCTGGGCGGGAGGAAACCTGCCTCGATCGAGCAGGTGAGTGAGTCTGGGTGGGTGGCAGGAAGCACATCTGATGTTCAGAGGCAGAGAAAGGTGAGAGGTCAGGTTTCACTTTCATCTGCAGTAGGCGGCCTGGTATATCGGAAGAGACATTCTGTACTGCAAACAGGGACACCAGGCTGGAGGGTGCCCACAGCCCCCCAGCTGCCACGTGCCAGGACCACAGTTGGGCTCCTCCTGCTTGGGTTTGGCCCAGGTCATGGTCAGCAGCAGCAGGGCAGACTGGGGGTGGTGTGGCCCCAGCCTCGTGCCCACCGCAGCCCCCAGGTCCCAGTGCCCGCTCGCTGTGGGCCCCAGTGCCCGCTCGCTGTGGGCCCCAGTGCCCGCTCGCTGTGGGCCCCAGTGCCCGTCAGCGGCTCACTCTCCCACTCTCCCTTCTCTCGCATCAGCCTCGGCAACTGCAGGGCTTCATCCTCCCCACCATGCTCCCCTCCCTGATTCCATGGTGGCCTGTCACTGAGCAGCTGGAAGAGCTGTCCGCTGGCCAGGATTAAGCTCCTCCCTTTGGTGTCTGGTGGCCAAACCAGAGCTTCTGGCTGGATCCTGGAGGGCACAGTGGACCCAGAAGGGCAGTGCCTGCTCTCCCCGTGCCCCAAGGGGACCCAGAGCAGTGCCATCAGCCCCGGGTGCGGGGCGAGATCCAGCTCTTAGGGCCACTGCGGGACTCCGGCCTGCAGTGTCCTGTGTGTACTTACAGGTGCTGCTGGCCCTGCCTGTGCCCTCCCCGCAGGGCCCCCCCGCTCAGAGAACTAGACTGCTCCACCACTGTGCTCAGCAAACTTAACTTCTTTATTAAGTGCCAAGGTCCAGGCGGGCGCTGCCCCCTGCAGCCTCTCGGACGAGGTCTGTGCCTGGAGCGTCCCGGGTCCCCCTGCAGGGCAGCAGCGCCGGGCGCTCACTTCACGTGCTCGGCCGCATGCGAGGAGCAGTAATACTTCTTGTGGGCGATGAAAGTGGACAGGCTGCTGAACCTGATGTTGCACAGGCGACAGTACCTGTGGTTGCCGTTGGGCACGGAGGCCGGCGTCCCCTGGCTGGGCGTCTGTACGCCTTTGTCCGAGTGGGAGGGGGGTGCCGGCACGGCCTCGGGGGACGTGGCCGGGGGCGGGCCGGGCCGGGGGCTGCCGGCGGGCGGCTCCCAAGGGTCCTGGCCGTTGAGGCCGTCGCGAGGGGCGGCGGGCGAAGGCGTCCGGGCCTCGGCGCCAGGGCCGGAGCCGGCCGGGGGCTTGCCCAGCAGCAGGCCATGCGCCAGGCGGAAGTGCTCGATGAGGTCGCCGCGCACCACGCCGTTCGGGGGGCAGTAGGGACAGACGATGGCGGGCTGGTCCTCGGGGGCGGCGCGCAGGCGGCGCGGGGCAGAGGGGCACGAGAACTTCTTGTGCGCCAAGTACGCCTCGAGGCTGTGGAAGCTCACGCGGCAGGCTGTGCACTCGTGGTAATCGGCCAGGGCCGGTAGGCCGGGCGCAGGGCCAGGAGCGGCGGCGGGAGCCTGGCGCCGCGGCTTTTTGCTCAGGTCGATGGGGCCTTCCGCCGGGTCTTGGCCGCTTCCACCTCCGCCTCCATTTCCGCTTCCGGGCCGCGGCGCCGGCGACGCAGGCGGCGTGGGGGCGTGGCCTGGCGCGACGGGCTGGGCGGGTCCGACCGGGGACGGGGCGGGTCCGACCGGGGGCGGGGCGGGTCCGGCCACGTGCAGTTCGTAGAGCTTGCGGCGCCTGCGCGTGCGCACGGGCGGCGCAGCGGGCGCGGGGGTCCCGGAGGTTCCGGCGGGCGCAGGCCGGCGCGGCGGCGGGTCGTGACGAGAGGCGCAGTAGTACCGCTTGTGCACCGTATAGGTCTCGTGGCGGCTGAAGCGGATGTTGCAGGCCTCGCACAGCGTCCGGCGGGGGTCGTCGTCCTCGTCTGCCCCGCTGCCCGGGCTTGGGCTGCCTTCGCTGCCCCGGCCGCCCGCCTCGGCCTCGGTCTCCGCCTCGGGCGTAGCCGCGCCCCCCGCCTCGTTCTCGCGCGCCCCGGGGCCCGGCGGCGAGCGCTGCTCGTCGGCCTCGGCGGGCGGCGGGGCGGGGGGGCGCGCGCGGCGGGGCTGGGGCCGCCTTGGGCCGGCGGGCAGGGGGCGTGTCGTCGGGCGGGCGGCGGCCGGAGCAGTAGAGGCGCTTGTGCACATAGAAGTTGTTGACGTTGTTGAAGGTGATGTCGCAGTCAAAGCACGTGGCGCCCTTGGGGGCCCCCGTGAAGAGGCCAGCCGGCGCTCCCACCCCCGCGCCCGCCTGCAGCCGGCTGTGCACCAGCTCGGACATTTTGGCCAGGATCTCGGAGGCAGGCGGCGCCGTGGGCAACTGCGGCAGGAAGAGTGCGCCGGGCCCTGGGCTGGAGCCGGGCGTGGGGCTGGACAGCTCCGCCTTCACGCGGACGGGGCTGGGGCCGGCGCTGGGCGGTGATGGCGTCCGCGACAGGGCCTGGGGCCCTGGCTCCGCCTCGGGCTCCTCTGCCGCCTCCACCTTGATGCTCCTGGGGGTCGCCGGGGGCTCGCCGCCACCCCCGTTCTGGGGGCCCGGTCTGCTCTCTCCGTTGGTGGCCTCTGCCAGGGCCTTCCTGTCCAGTCCCGGTGATGGGGCGGGCACCAGGCTCAGGTCTGCAGAGGCCAGGGGGCCGTGCAGCGCCGTGTGCTGCTGGAAGGCGGCCAGACTGTCTGCGGGGAGACGCCAGGGGCCACACTTCAGGCCTGGAGCAGGACCTGCCTGGGCCAGACCTGAAGCTGGGGAGGGCGGGAAGGGAGAGCTGGGCTGGGCACAGAGGTGGTGGAGCGTCGAGGCCGAAACCGACACCCCCCCCCCCCTCGTGGCCGAGCTTGCTTCCCCCTTCCCAGTCCGCAGGGTCACCAGGGGCTCACCTGCGGGGAGCTTGGCAGTGGGGTGCCCAGCCCCTGATGAGTAGATCTCAACCTTAGAGCCCGGCTGGCAGACCATGTGGTTGGTCACTAGGTGGCTGTAGAGGATGTCCCGCGTGGTGGAGATGAAGCCGCAGCTGTGGCACACACCTGCAGGTAGGCTGTGGTGTCAGAGCCCTGCCGGTGGCTGCGTCCCGCAGACCCCGCCGCCCCCTTCCTGGCCCCGCTCACCCGTCAGCGTGTCTGTGTGCACCTTGAGGTGCCGCTCGCAGTTGGCCTTGGTGGTGAAGGCGGACAGGCAGATGAGACACACGAAGGGGCGCTCTCCTGGAACATGGGGCCCGGTAAGGGAGCCTGGCCAGCCGAGGACTACGGCACGGGCACGTGTGGAGGGCCCCTAAGCTCTGCCTCCTAGGACCCCATCGGGGGCCCAGCCCCCAGCCGACCACCCAGCCGGTCGCAGGCGGGGCAAGTGGCCTGGGGCCCTGTGGGAGGCTGCTCGGCGGGGTGGGAGGACCACTCGGGCACGTCCACGGCAGTTGTGCAACCCCAGGAACAATGCAGTGAGCATGCGTGGCTTGGGCGGGGAGACACGCCGTTGGGGGCGGGGCTCACCGCTGTGGCTGCGCATGTGGATCTCCAGGGAGCTGGCGCTGGGGCAGCTTTTGCGGCACTGGGGGAAGGGGCAGACCCGCTCGTTGGGGTAGGTCTCCTTGGGCTTCTCATCGGGGGCGGCCACAGCGGGGGAGCTGGTGCCTTGGCGGCTGGCGCAGTAGTACAGGAGGTGGGCTTGTAGGTTCCGCTCGCTGCGGTACCAGATGCCGCAGTCCTTGCAGGGAAAGACGTCTTCTGCGGGCGGGAGAGGCGGGTGCAGCCTGAGTGGTGCCCCGGCAGCAGCGCTGGCCGCCTAGCACCCGGGGCAGGCCCTGGGCCCTCTGCAACACGAGGGCTGTGCCCCGGCGTCTGCCAGCTTGGGGGTGGGGTGGGGTTTGTGACCTGGGCTGTCCCTCTTCACTGCTTTGCCTTCTCAGGTGTCCCTTGGTAACTCCGTGTCCCCTCTCTACGGATCTTCAGGATGCCATGGGGACTTGCATCCTGGGGTGGGTGGCCCCTGGGCTGCGTCCGGACAGGGAACCCCATAAGGAGACACTGTGGTCTCTTGGGGGCGCCCACGGAAGAAGCGAGGCTGGGGTCCGTGACCTGATTGTCTCTGTGACTTGGCGGGGGCGATGGGACTTGCGGGCTGGCGTGGAGCTGGGTGCCCGTGGAGGAGGACGAGGAGACAGGTGTGTGCGTGTGAGCAAGTGTGTGGGCCGCTGGGTGCCTGAGTCCCCAAGCACTGGGGCAGCAGGGCGAGAGGTGAGCGTGGCTCTGGGTAGGCAGGGGTCTGAGGCCAGGAGCTGCAGAGCAGGAGGAGCCTCCCGGTGCACCGCCCTTCCCCGCCCCCCCCATACACCTGTGTTACTGGTCAGAACTTCCTGAATTCACTACGTTTAACCCAAGTACCTTTGCGGTTGGGGGTTTGGATGGCGGGGGTGGATTTGCCAGCTGGTGAGCATTCTCTGGTGGGTGCTTCAGCAGAATGATAAGGAATGTTTTGTTGTTTCTGTCCCTGCTCCTTGGCCAGCCACCCCTAGGCTGAACCCAGGGCAGGGGGGAGACCTTGTTCTGGGTCTCGACCTTGACCTTCACACGGAATGGACACCTTTTGGGGGTCGTGTGCGGGTTGGGACGTATTTCTCAGCCCGCTGGTTGGTAGTTACTGAACATGTGGTCTGCCTGCCCCCCGGGGGCTGCCAGGTTTCTACCTTCTGCCTCTCTTAAGAAATTTAGTGCCTGTCTGCCAAGTGAGGTGGGCACTCCTCATGCCCCTGTGCCTGCGGTGTTTCCGGCTCAACTCTTCCTACTGTGTTATTTCTGGTTTTCACGTTCCCTTTTATTTGGAGGCTGAGGGGCAGCGCTGAGGCCTTGAGCTGGGATCCGGGTCTGAGGGGCCAGCTGTGGGCTGCTGTTGGTACCTGCAGGGTCCGTGCTGGGGACTGCGCTGCTGCTGGCGGCACAGCGAAGCGACTGGGAGCCTCGGAGGCCCGTGTGGGCCCCAGCCCCGGCCCTAAAACTTAGCAAGGACGGTCGTCGCCCCACCAACCCAGGGCTGACCTCGGGCCAAGTCCCGGGTGGATGCAGCCCAGGTAACCTGCACAGACACCTCAAGACCGGCATCACCTTTACTGCTTCCACAGATGAGAAAACAGGCCCAGAGTGGTGGAGTCTCAAGAATTAAACCGGGTCTGATTGACTTTGGAGCTCGGGTTCTGAAAGCCCTTCTAGGCCACCAGTAGGAGAGGCCCACGTGGGGTTGGTATAAACGATGCTAGCCCACCATGCCCTCACAGACCAGTGTCAGACCCGAGGGGAGGGAAACCGAGGCCCAGAGAGGCTGCTCCTGGGCGGGCTTGAGAGGAAGCCCTCCAGCACCTGGGGCTCCCTGCAGCCCCCCCCCCCCCCCGACCTACCCATCCAAAAGAGACAGGCAGCCCCCTGGGCACCAGATGCCATTCCCTGCCCTGGTGGGGTGGCCGTCCTGGCCTCTGAGAGACCCTTCTATCCAGCACCCTTCTTTCCTGAAACCTCAACGTCAGACAAGACCCCTGTTTGCTCACCACCACCCTCTCAGCTCCCCTGCAGGACCCCATTCTCCCTGAGGCAGTGGCCTTGCCCTGTCCGGCCCACCCACCTGTGCTTGTCCCCACCCCTCCGGTGTCACCCTCCTCACTTGGCTGCCAGTGTCTGGGTCACGGTGACCTCCATGCTGCCTGCCTTTGCTCTCAAGACACGGCGGGCCTCCCCTCACCCCTGGCTCTAGTGTCTGCAGGTCCTGTCTCTCCCTGGGGCCTCGTCCTGCCCGGAGCTCCCCAACTCTTACCGCACCCTGAGCCCCAGCACGTGTCCCCCAGTCGCCTCCTGGGCTCCACTTAGTGCCCAACAGGCGTCTTGGGTCAGGCTGCTCAGAACGGGCCCTCCATCCTGACTGCGATGGGACGGACAGTGTCCGCCCCGCGGCCGTGCTGCAGCCCCGGCCCCACGCTGCCGCTTCCCCCCCCGCCCCCCCCCCCCGGCAGGCCCTGTGCCGTCTTCACGTTTGACCTGCTTAAAAAGGTCACTTTTCTCCCAATTTTACAACCCTACAGTCTAGCAGCCATGCAATTTTAGAACTAAATGGGGTCGTACCCTTTGCTGCCTGAAAGCCCCCTGCCGCGGTCGTTTCTCTGAGAAGGAATCCCAGCCCTGGTCCGGGGCCACCCTCGGAGTCTGGCTCTGGCCACGGTGGCCGTCTTGCTGGGCCTGGGCTGTCCGCTCAGCTGCTCTCCCCGGCGCGCGTGTCTCCGAAGCACCCCAGCCACTGCCCACATCACCACTTGCCCTCCTTCGTGGATGTGCCGCCTGCCCCCTCAGGGCGGGCAGCTGTCCCCACCTCACTGACCCCAGTGCCTTGACCGCCTGGTTCGGTGTGGACGTTGAACAAGGATTTGAGAAACGGTGAATCTCATCGGTTCTCAGACCCTCTGCTGCTTGTAGGGAGGAGTGACAAACGTGGTCCCTCCACTGCAGCTCTCCACACTGGCGGCTCTGCCCCAAAGGGACACTTGACCACGTCCTTCACAACTGGGAGGTGGGGATGGTACCAGCGTCTAGTGAGCGAGGGCAGGGCTGCTGCTGGGCACCCCACGGTGCATGTGTCCCAGACTCCACCCCTGCCCTGCGCGGCCTCTCCAGCTGGCAAGCTAGAAGGGCCTTCCGGACCCTGTGGAGTGTGTGCCAGAGGCGCTGTGGTGAGAAGCCCGCTCTGCTGCAGAGCCCGCCTCCCCGTCAGCATCTGGGAGCTCACCACGTGGCCCCCTGCACGCTAGGCCCCCGTGCGTGCCCCCGGGGCACACCTCTGCTCAGGTGGCAGTGGTGACCAGTCTTTGCAGATCCTGAGCTGGGCACTGCCTGGGGTGGGGGCGGGCAGGCAGCGGGTTACTCACTGTTGACAACTGCAGTTGCGAGGATGGATGCCATGCCCGCCTGCTGGGGCAGGAGCTGGATGTCGGCGGCTGGGGAGGGGGCCAGGCCCTCGGGCTCCACCGGCTCCTTCACAGGCTGGCTGGGGGCACTGTGGGGCTCGGCTGCGAGGAGCATGCTCAGCCGTCCGCCCGCGGCCACTGGCCTGGTGAGCCTGCACCAGAGGGCGCCATCTGCGGGGGGAGGGCGTCTGTGACGGGGCGCCGGCAGCCCCAGGCCACCGCGGCCACGCCTCTGCAAAGACCCTGCCCATCTTATCCTCCTGATGCCCGCTGCGCCGCCCCAGCTTAGGCATGGGGGTTCCGAAGCCGGTGTGGTGGCCGGGGCGAAGCCACACCCGGTTCGCAGCTGTGGCCGGCTGGTTTCCGTGGCGCACCTGCCTCCTCAGGGCGACTAGGTGTTGCCTGCTCTTTGGGCCTCCCTGCCTGTGTCCGTCGGAGCGCGACGGCCCTCTTAGGGGAGAGGGGAGCAGAGCGGCGGGGAGGGCTTGGGAGCCGCTCACCCACGCCCTAGAAAGGCCCCCCAGCTCCTCGCTACTCAGCCAGCGTGGCTGTTACCACGGTGGCCAGCGGGGGGCAGCCTTGGCCAACAGGACCCGGGCTGAGCTGCCCACGGGACCAGGCCACCTGGCTAGCATCTGCCCGGGCAGATGAACCCTGTTGACCAGGCGAGCAGGGGGGACAGGCCAGGCACTACTAACTGGGCCACGTCCCCGCCAGGTGTACGTACCCCCAGCTGGGCACCTGCTGCCAACCTGGGCCCTCCCGTGCTTTCCAGCTGCTCTCTGGGTCCTTAGAGCACCCCAAAGCAGGGAGGGTGGGCCAGGGGGTGAAACAGGCACACAGGTGCTGTGCTAGCCAGGTCCTCGGGGCCAATGGCAGGGCAGACGGAACGCGCAGGGCCCCGGATGCTGACCTCAGCACCTGCTCTGACCCCTGCTGTGCCCTGGAGGCCCCCAGGTAGGGAGGGGCTGGGGAGGTGCTGGAGCAGCAGCCCAGCTTGCCCCTGCCCACCTCCAGGGACCTTTGGCTCTGTCCTGAAACAAGGCTAAGGCTGCCCACAGGACATTTAGTCCAGTGTGCTCAGGAGGCGATGGTGAGGGTGACACCCCCAGAACATTCTACCAAAGCGGAGCCCCCCCCCCCCCCCGAA